TCAGTTTAAAGTCAAGCAAATTTAATCCAGCTCAGCACAGCCCTTCTAGATGCAAAATAACATTCGGATACTCTTACAGATCTAAGTAACACCAATTGTATTGAAATTGATTACTACCGTGTAGGATGCCACTCACACTTTCATCCGAGACCTACATGAGTCACAATTTTGGGTTCGCTTTTGAAATTAATTATCTGAAATTTGTCGTGACTTACACACGTCTTGCCTTTTTTAGTGCTACTAAAGCAATTACCAACTCGCCTTGTAAACTAAACAGAGCATAGCATTCGTGTTAATCCGATAATGAGTTTTATAACCATTTTATGGTCCACGGAAACGTAATAACGCCATGGCAGTTTGTAGACGAAATAGCGTGCCACTATCTCGCTGTAAACCGAGGGTTATGGAATAATCCATTCGTTGGTAGTTTGATTTAGTTTAGTCTGTCGGCCGGTAACAGCATCATCCTATTAAACAGCATATCTGGCATTTACAGCTAATTGATTCTAGAAATGTTATATTACAGTGGACTTATTCTAAAGTTATTGTGATTTTAGTAGTGTGGTGGTATGATGCGACTTATGATATTCATTAATAATTATTTCTAGCGGTTAGCTTTATTTTTTATAATTTGTGGCTTAAAATATCTCCTCACAAAAGACAATGGCGCAAGTACCTCTTGCTCCTTATGGAACACCCTGCAGTAAAACCTATTTGTAAGAACAGATCTATAAGATTCAGCTCAAAATTCACTAGTACAATCCAATTTACCCGAATTTGGTACCAAAATGGTCGCTTAAACGCAATAAAAAAATCATGTATAATTCCGCCATTCATTTGGTAAGGGTATTTATAAATCAAATTGCGCAAAATGTCTGTGACGTAATTTCCTTTTGGTTTCATTTGGGGATTGCAGTAGACAATTGATTTTTTTGTTTTTTGGTCCTATTTTTAGATATGCTTTGATATTAGGCGCGTCTCTCGTTCTCTACTTAGTGCTCGTGTGTTTTAACACCTTAGAAACACTGTTAGAAACACTTTTGTGAGATCCTCAATTCAATATTTGTTAGCATGAAAAAATTATGAATCAATAAATATTTCCGTCTGAATAACATCAAAGAGGAACAATTCGAATATTCCTAAGTAACTCTCTGATATACTAGCATACAAGTTCAAAGCAGATGTCAGTTTTATTAAATTCCGATAATACTAAAATAACTGTATTGATTGAAGTGTTAGGTAGCCAGATCAAAGTTTCTATTTTCAAATGCTTATCTTGAGTTCGGTTTACAGGGTTAATATGAGGCAATGAAAATTGATTTGTGGTGCAATAGTTGAGTAGCGTAAGGTTCTTAGTTTTAAGTAGAAACATATCATGAGCTATTTAAAAAAGGCGATAAAATGGTGCTTAATAGTGGTAAAGTCTCTGCAGAACCTCTTAAGTAGGCACTTACCTACTTCTGCCATAAAGAAGAGCTACTTCGATTGAAGGGAATAAAGACTCAGCGGAATTATAGACACAGGAGATTATAGATCATATGTCCCACATTCGGTAATGCATTAGCTATGTTAAGGCAATTCCTTAGTAGGTATCTTTATATCTGCCACTTATAACTATATAAGCGGATACGATTACCACTTTCCTTGATGTATCAATCAGGATAAAAGGGAATGCTTCGACGTTTTGATAATATGGAAAGGATGGATATTAATATATTGACAGCACAACTTTATACAAATAAAATTAATGGAAGCGCGAGGGGAGATATCTCGTTCGCACACATATCGTTCAGATTGGGGATGTCCTTGAGAAAGCCCAGGTAAAAGGTGCCAAGAATAAACGGATTTATGTGAAGAGACTGAGGCAAAAAAGATTCGTCAGGAGCCTAATAAGTGGAGGTTCGTGGTCTTGTTTACCCTAATGAGAGACAGGTATAATGGTATGCATGCAGAGACAGAGCTAGAGAAGGATTTGTTTTCGTCCTTCGGATTGTTATATTGAATATAATAAAAAATGATGAAATAATTTTGTCGTTAAGTTAAACGTTATTAAGTTCGTGTAGCATTTATCGTACATTAACCCAGTTACGTAGATATTAAGTAAATACACAGTTATGCAATGTCAGTGAAACCCAAATTAGACTTTACATTTGCTTTGATGTGGTGGCCATTTAAATCTGGTTTTTGGACGCCTATTAACGGAAAAGTAATTTTTTTTAAACGCTTAGGTTTTTTAACGTTCACAAAGTGGAACATTACGATGATTTATTTATATCTGTGATTTGATTCCTAAACAAGTGTAACGAAATGGCCCAATACTGCTAGATCTTCACACATATTCCAAGGTTGGTCACACTTTTAATGTGCAAATGTCATAGCTATTTTTTCCAATATCGTCAGTGAGTGTATTGCTGCTAATATTTGTATGTAATTCAAGGATTGGAACCATCGTATAATAAAAAATCCAACTCCCGCCCGCCCTTTCATTCGGAGCATAGTGTGTCACATTATTATTTAAGTTATACCTATACATTTTTATTGAATTGATATTCAATTATTTTCATGTGAAAATAAATTACTCTACTAGTTTGTTATAATTATTAATACAAAGACCATTCAGAAAAAAGTCCTTCGGTCCGGCCGGCTTAGTTGGTGTAGCGTCTGGCACGGTATGCTAGAAGACGTCGGTTCAAATCCGGCCGGATCGAAAGACTTTTTTCTGAGTGTTCGATCTTTGTATTAATAATTTTACTTTTTACCTGCCTCTGTGGCCGAACGGTTACCATGCCGGACTGCCACACAGAGGTCCCAGGTTCGATTCCCGGGGCAGGAGAAATATTTGTGTGGTCTACATGTATTTCTCTCGTGAGTTTGGGTGTAATTTGTGGTTGTCTACCTATGTGTGTGCACTTGGCACCCGCGATACAGGGTTTCCCTAGTGCGGGGCTATATTGAGTGTCTGCTTTATTATTAATTATAACAAAGTAGTGCAGTAATTTCACATAAAAATAATTGACTATCAATTCAATAAAAATGTAAATACAATGAATAGCGACATCTTTAGCCGGGACTGGTAGCTGTACAGGTATCTAACTGGATGACGAAATATCATAGATTTGTCATAGATGGCGATACGGCTAAAAAGTCGTTCAAAACCAAATACAAAGATACGACGCAAGGTCATAGAAAAATTCGTGAGGTCCGCTGGCTCGTTCCGTTGCTTAGTTGGTATAGCGTTTGACGCGGTATGCTAGAAGACGTCGGTTCGAATCTGGCCGGATCGAAAGATTTTTTCTGAGTGTTCGATCTTAGCATAAATAATTATACCTAGGTTATCAAAATTAAGTTATTCATCACAGTATGATATTTTTAAACCAACATTATTGGTACCTCGATTATCAGAGTATGATTACGAAATAGAAATGAAATGCTGAACATTCTGATTCTCAACTTGAGGCACTCTTATTTAAGCAACCATAAACACAACGGTAAGCAGGACTACTATTTGATATCATCTTTAAAAACCAGGCGAACGCTTCAATTCTACAAAGAACGGCGCGTGTAACCCCGCGCTGTGCAACGCGAGAACCGCGTGAGTACAAGCAAATGTGTGCGTCCGTACAAGGCGCGTGGCGGGGCTTGCAAATATACAACCCGTGCTACTACATTATATGCAGTTAGACTACTTATCTGTGAATGTGATTGTGATCAGTGTATGGAATTGGGGGAGATAATTTAGCTAAACTAAAGAATAATGTGGACATACCCTTCTACAACTGCCTCCTTAACTGCCTCTGTGTGTGTGTCTGAACGGTGATCATGCTACATTTATTTCTTTCGTTTAGTTCTCATAATTTGTGGTTATCTGTTTGTGTGTACATGGTATCCGTAATACAGGGTTTCCCTATTGCAAGGCTATAAACGTGTGCATTAACAAAATCCCAGATTTCTCGAAACTGATTACATTTGACAATTCGTATTATTTATTAAAATTTGTGTAAATTGGTGACAAATTATTACTTTCTATTAAGTATTTGCTACAAATCATTGTCGCAAAAAAATAATATGGCTGTTGTGTGTCTACAAGTATCTACTTACGTATATAAATACTTTGATCAGCTAAAGTCCATACTAAGAAAACCATCACAATTAAGATAAATTAACACCCTCAATTCCGATTTACGCTTGTTATTTTTGGACCGTCGGCGTCGATTTTTTTTAATGGAGAAGCAACAGTTACTAAATTATAACCAACTACTTCATCAGCAGGTCTGAAGATGACAGTAATAAGAAAGTTACGATATGAACACTTGTATCACGTCTGTTTGTATTATTTTACGAGGTCCTAGCTTAAATAGATTCTATGTCAAAAAATGAAAATCAAAATAATCTTTACTTTACAGGTAAGCATTATTACACTTGACACCGTCACATTGGTTAAACTGTACCGCTCATTCGTAAAGCAGATTCCCTTGAAAAGAATGAGCAAAAAACTCTAGGGGTTGCTCCTTTGTAAATAACATTTGAGCACATTCAACATTTACAATATTTTTTTTTGTTTTCAGAGATCGAGACTACCTCCATGAGCTAAACGGGTTACTACCACGGATTTTTGTCATCCAAGTACGCAGAAGTTGTATAATAACCTTTAGTATAAAGTTTTTGTTTGTGTGAACTTGTGACTTTTTGAAGACGACTATCAAGAACAGCTAGTTTATTTTGATTCCTCGTATTAATGTTATATCTGTGACTGTATAAGGTTAATGATAATAACGTGCTGTGTAACTTTGAAACGGAATTACTGGCAGCTGTGTGTCACCGTCAAAAACTCTATGAACGAAAACTGTCGACTATGATTTAAACGTTTAGTTGTTGTATTGTTAATATTACCAATCAGCACATACTTGTTCAACAAAGGAAAAAAAACAAAAATATCCACTGAGTGCTTTCAGATCGATACGGGACGGTAGTGTTGAACATTTTCGCCGTATGTTCCTATGGGAGATGTAGCTCAGCGGTAGAGCGTTCGCTTTGTAAGCGATAGACCTGAGTTCGATCCTCAGCATCTTCATTCTGGATACAGATCGACTTTTTTTGTTTCTACAATATTAAAATTCATAATAAAAATAATGAAACAGCAAATGTAGTACAATCATAGGGCATCAATTCACACAAATTAATTTTAGTACATATTTAAAACTGTACACAGCGACACATGAATAAAATGAAATAATATTTCTAGTATTGAATCACGAAAACTCTATGTCATACAAAATCAGAAGTATATGAAATATAAAAAAGAAATGCAAAACTGTCTAAACAACATCTTACGATTGATCAAGTAAAATTCATTTCGTAGCAGAAAAGATACTTGTGAAAGTACTGTCACCTTACCAGTTTCTGTCGTCAAGTAGTAATGATAGCATTACTGTGTTCTGGTTAAGCCGGAAAGATAAGGGCACTGGTGAAATTACAGGCACGTGGGACTTGTCATCTCATATCTCAGGGTGACGGGCAATGTTTCAATGCCCCTCAGATCTTTGCGATTTAAAGCTCTGAGTGCACATCATCAGCTGCACGACTGGTTCATCCCGCCATTCGATATTATAAAACAAAAATTACAGAAGACATAAACGAACGAAGAGAATATTGTGGGTGGGATATACTCAAAAGGCTTACAATGCTCTGCGCGTCCAATATAATAACGCCTTCAGGGTGCTGTTGCGGCTGCCGCGTTTCTGTAGTGCTTCCACCATGTTTGTTGAAGCACGCACAGACGGCTTCGATGCCGTATGGCGCAAAAAAACGGCCTCACTTGTGGACAGAGTGCGGGGCAGCAGTAACAGCATCCTGAAGATGATAAGTAGTAGGTACGATTGTCCTATTATGTGGACTCTGGCACAGAGGACAAAGTCATTCTTAATTATTAAGTACTAATATAGGCGAATTATTAACATTTTTTTGGACCTTTTTTTTTTTTTTTTTTTAAAAAAAAAAAAAAAAAAAAAAAAAAAACATTCACCACACAAAGCCACCATCGGCAAAAAATATAGCAGTCTGGTGCAGATACGAGAAACACATTAAGATACTACAGAGCACGAACAAGCGGGGATTTATTATGAAATACAGTTACCGCTGCTGACATTCACAGCAAAGCTGGTGATTACATGGACGTAAATTAAATCTCAATTTCACACGAAAATTCAAAAAAAGCAAAAGAAAATCGTCTTCATCATTTGTGACGAGATCTAGAGATGCGTGAAAATTAGACTGAAAGAAGTTGTACGTGGTTTAATTTTCATATTCAAAGCACTTTTATGTTACTCGGGAGTGGCTTTTTTATAAGATCAATTGAAGGGACGAACAAGTCGTATCTACGCATGGAGATAAGGGAAATTGTCACTTATCTCCTCGCGTATCACACAAATATCCATAGCAGTTGCAGTGCCACACAGAGCTTTAAAGGACTATCCACACATATCAGCGCCGTGCTAGTTTGTGCGAACTTCGCAGTACAAAATATACGCAGCGTTTTTTTTTTGAGCCCCTGACAGAGCACTTCCCGGGCACGGCTCTTATGTGTGTGGTTAGTCCGTACATCGTAAAGATCTGGAGGCTGCTGCTGGAGACTGCCAAATAAAGATTTGGCCACTTAGGTCATTATGTGACTTATAAATTATGAACATAAAAATAAACAAACATAACTGCCATAAAAGGAAAGAATACACACTGGTATTTAATTTAAATAAATAATGTCCGTTAAATCGTACAAATATGCCTTTTTATGACATCAAATGACGGGTCGAACAAGTCGTGTGCCTCGTAGTAAGCGACACGCCTGTCCATTACAGTTGTAGTGACTCAGAGCCATAAATCGCAAAGATATAAGGGACACTGCCACTGCGCCCGTCATCCTGAGACATAAGGTGACAAATCCCATGTGCCTGTAATTTCATTAGCGTAAACTCTTTCACAAGGAGTTCTACTACTTATGTTACGTATGTGGATTATTCCCCAAAAATTTCGGTGTTATTATTTGGATAATATTATTTTGCGAACCAATTTTTCCCGAAAATATAACGGCATCATTTCAGTGCACCCTATATTAGCGTAATTATCGTATATCATGTTTTCGGTAATGCATGGTAAGTGTTATTATTCACCATCATTTTGTGATTAAGACTCGTGCATGTAAATGCTGAAAAAAGAATTTCAAAGTTGCTGAATCAAAATATGGAAAAAAGCAAATTGTGCAACATTTATAATCACTTTATTCCCTTGAACCGTCGAAGTTCATCAATAAATATTAAAAAAAACCAGTTAGTTTTTTATAGGCACTTCTATTAGTACGTATGAGGTTGTTTTTTCTTTAACATCAAGTGACAGGGCGAACAAGTCGTGCACCTGATGGTAAGCTACATGCCTGTCCATAACAGTTACAGTGCCACTCAGAGCTTTAAATTGCAAAGATCTGAGGGGCACTACCACTGCGCCCGTCATCCTGAGACATAAGTTGACAAGTCCCATGTGCCTGTAATTTCACCAGCACCCTTACCTTTCAAAACCGGAACACATTAATGCTGACATTACTGCTTGGCGGCAGAAATAGATAAGGTGGCAGTACTACCCTGGACAAACTCTTTCACAAGGAATTCTACTGCTCCCGGGGTATACAGGATGTTTCTGTGGTGGACGGATGCATTGACTTTGATTAATAATTCTCGATTTAAAAAAAATCGTAGTAAATGCTCTCATCGATTGATGTGTCTATTACAGGGTCATCTGTGTACAACCCCATAATTACATTACAATTATCTACTCCTTATTTAGTGTTGGCATTATTTGTGGTTGGTAACACCACTGAATTAGGAGTACAGTAGTATTTGCTGAAATCCGAAAACTGTATAAGTAATCTGTGATTAACGGTGCTGGTTATTCATTAAGCACTATTTCTTAGTTATGTATTATTTGTAATGTGTAACTGTTTTTGGTGACACTAATAAATAAATTGAAAAGAAACGCACTGCAGTAAAGTCACTAACTAAACATGAACAAATAGGCAGACAAAAAAGAGGATCAAACACAGACACAAAAAAGGCTGACTCAGCTTAATGATAGCCAAAACAAAAGCTAGCCACAGCTAATATTCTCTCATAGCCTCGATGTACAATTAGGACTTGGTATTTTACTAGAATGAAGGCTTATTATTTATTAAAGATTTTTACCAAATCTGCTCGTTGATATGTAGAATCTTATAGGATGTTCCCATCTCCAAGTTAGGCAAATATAGTAAACTTGATGATGTACATTATATATTTTTGAAGACTCCTGTTTTAACAGTGAAAGCTAAAGTTTTATGTATTGGTTGTGCTAGTGGAAATCCATCTCTGTCTATCTCAATCAGAGACAGACGCAATGTCTTGTATGTGCATGTATTGGTAAGTGTCCTGGTGAAATTACAGGCACATGGGACTTGTTAATTGTGTCTCAGGGTGACGGGTGCAGTGGCCCTCAAATGTTAGTGATGTAAAGCTCTAAGTGGCACTGCAACTGTTACGGATAGGCGTGTCGCTTACCATTAAGCACACGACTTGTCCACCGCGCCACTTGATACCATAAAAAATGTATGCATATTTTTATTCTAAACAAAGTCGACCACTTTAGAGGTTCTTTTTAGCGGCATTTAAAAGCTTGATTATATTTTTATTATAAATGGAAATTTATCTCAAATATAAAGGTCAACAAAATAATTTACGGAACTAGTTACAATCACCACTTGCAAACAAAACTATTTTGGGTGTGGGATACTTCAATTTTTCTGGCAATTTTGAGGAAGGTGATGGATGATAAAGGCAGAGAAAGACGTAGTAGACGTATTAAGTTTCCCTGTAGATATATTTATATCTTCAAGCGTATGGAATATTCACAATGAACTGAGAGTTCACCGAAACCACAAAACGTAGTTAACTAATTAGTAAATCACATCGCCTTTGAACGTAACCCTAAGGCGATGCTACCTATTCACTAACTTAAAGTAACATATCCTTTGGGAGGCAAAATCACTGGAACTTCTCGTGATATTATATGAAGAGAAATGTTTCGGAAATAATTGGAAGAACTTCGTATTCAGTTTATTCTTGTTCTGGGCAGAGTAGATCGATGGGGCATAGACATTCCATCACAAGATCAAGATTATTAATAATCGCATGGAATGGCAGCAAAATTGGTTAACTTTGATAAAGTAGTAAAAAGAGGTGGTAACCTAGACTAATTATCAATTTAAATATTAACAATCTAAATCACGTAGTAACTATTAAGTAATGTACCAGTACAATACATTTCTCTATGTAACGTATATTTTTCTGAATATTTAGTATCAATATCTATAGCTAACGGTGAAAGAAAATATCCCTATGAAGACTGTACGCTGTTATGTACCTGGATCATCTTCTCATCGTACAAGTCAGAGTGTAGTATTAGTCATAACAACCAAAGCATGGCTCCGTCACTCACTCAAGGTTACGCGATAAGTGCCTACCGCCGAGTGTACCGACGTCGGCACAAGCGCTCATACAAGCCTTTCATTTATGAACATTTGGCTCCACACTGCTGCATACGACGGGCAACGTCATTTTCACCTCTCTGTGCGTGTACTTAAGCTCCTTTTTCCTCGTAGTGAGCGCCTGGTGTCATTACTCAGATTTAGTAGGCTATTATAGCGTGGATATTTTCGATTTTGTGTGAGTGATGTATCTATTACGTAGTAACTATTAAGTAATCTGTGACCAAAGTACGTCTTAATGTACTTATAGGCATCTTTCGCTGCAGCTAGAATTGGATAATTCGTGTGACATAACTTTAGCGAAAGAAAGAAAAAAAAGAAAGAAAACTCTCAGACAATATTAATTTATTAACACGTAGAAAACGAAAAGGAAAGGCTGTCACGAAAAATAATAAAATGATAATAAAGAGTACAATCAGTATAAAACACTTCCCATTAAACAGTCCATAAAAAAGGGCGCATATATGCAAATCTAACCATTTAAAAACAGTAAATCACGTGAAGTTTGA